TATGTCTTTGTCTTTTTACGTGTGTTTCTACTTCGTACATATTTTTTCGAGACACATATTCTTTTATAAGTATATTTATGTGATTGTATAAAGGCGAGCTATATACATAAATATGTATTTATAGTGATACACATTGTCTTATTTATATATTGTCGGTAGTTTGGTTTGTTTGCGATGTCCTGGGTAATTTCATGATCGTCGTGTATGATCAATCGAACGGATAGGACATCCATCTGTTCATGGCAAGGTATATGCACATGTACCTGTATAGTCTAGCTTTTTTATTCTGTGTATTTTCATTTTGTTTCTACTAGTATACCTATAATGCACACCTGTACGCAACTGACACATCTTTCCGCTTTTCTTAAGCCAGTATTTGTATATAGCTGTTCTGAAGTGCTCTATAGCCATCTAACTCTTTATAATATACCTAACAAGATAACGCTCGTATGCAGAGACGTTTGTACCTGAAAATCTATGCGTAATCCATGTCTGTAAGGTGCGCATGGGCTTCTAAAATTATAAGAACACACATATGTGCAGATGACCGTGGCGGAGTATTACAGGAGTCTGTGCACGGATATGTGTGACATTGCGGTGGCTGAAGCGCCGTACGACCGCCTGACACCATATAGTACATCGGGGCGACAGGACAAATCCCTTAAAAGGACTCAAGAACATCTCAAAACATATGCGAATTTATTGAAGACGGAAAACAAGGGTCATATTGCTCACTTCGCTCCAGGTACGGGACTCTGTCTGTATGAACACGAGTGCGTGTGTGTGTATGTGTACTTGTGTGCCAATGTATGTATGCATATCTTCTACCTATATGAATATGTCTGGTGTTATTTTGAGTGTTCACAGGATCATGCGCGTGCGAGTATGGGGATATGTGCATCGTGCGCGATATGCTCAGCCTTGTTCTCGATGATTGTATATTTGTGCATATGAGTTTTTGACAGGTATCATCTTAGAAATAATCGCATATCTGATCGCAGTTTGTTCATTGTTTGTCGCGGTACAGATTCGGCAAACGGGTGTGTGTGTGGTGCCTCGAAAGACATATATAAACAGTGACGTTCCGAGGTTCGTTGTTATTCACGCAGTGGACCTTAACCAGTTATATACCTGTATATTCACACGATATTGTCTCGTGACAATCTGCTTAGCAAGTTATCCTGATGCTCTCAAGCAAAGGTCAAGGCAACCCTGCCTCTTCATCTGGAAGTGCTGCAGACTATATGCACAAGTTTGAATACGATAACGATTACGATTACCCACTATCTCACCTGAAGTCTGAATAGAATACTAATACCTACATACACGTACTTCACGACGTGTTGTTTTGCAGTTGTTGGGGGGGACTCAATAAGGAGGCGTACTCAATCCTCAGCATTTGCTGTCGAACACGATGATGTATTCGCTGGCTACTCAGTGCGGAGTATACCCAAATCCGGACCTACAGGTCACCTGCTCGAGCTGTTGAATGCATCCCTGTCGAGTCTGCCGAGTGACAAAGTACGGAGGACCAGATGGTGTGCATATGAACGAACGCACACAAATATATTTATATATATATATATGTATATATATATATATCTATATATATTGATATGTGTATCTACACACACATATACGTGAGCTGCTATGAATCCAGACTCTTGCACATGTACATATGAATGTCTGAACACGGTGTTGTATATACATGCAGTATTTAATTTTGAAAAGCTTAGCTTAGTTTTAGTTTGTCGGGCAGAAGGATCATCGTCAGTTGACACGCTTGTTGATTCCTACACTGCCCTAGCTGTAGTACATGTGTGCTTGCCAGTGTCAGATATGCTGTGTTGTTACCTACATGATCGTTCTCTCGCACATGCATTCATAAACACTACTATTTGAGTCACTCTGCCTTCCGTTGTCTGCTTGTTTCATTCCGCTGTATATTCAACTTTTAAACTTAAAAAATCAGTACTCATGCCAAGTACCATACCCGTTGGGTGCCCAGTGCCTGTAGCTTCTCTCCTCGTGGCAGATGAATCTGTAGCACCCTCCAGTGTGAGATTGTTTGTAGACGTGTGATTAGTCGTACACCAGCGCACCAGGAGAACGAGTGATTGTATATGTAAAATGTAGCGTTAAACATCGTGCTTGAAGACATGTTAGTCGTGAAGATAATTTGTCGCTCTATGCCCCAGTAGGCAGATTTCGTCTCGAGTATGAATAAGGTTGTTCTTGTTTTGTTCGCAGGTCAGAATGTTGTGCGGGTGGGGCTCTCCCGAGATGGTCCTCCAGGCCGTCGCTTGTGGGGTAGATGTCTTCGATGGTACCTACCCTTACCTTATAACCGAGGAAGGGTGTGCCATGATGTTTCACTTCCAGGGTATGAGGCTCGATGACACTCGTTCTTGTGAACAAACGTTTGTATTCGGTGCAACGTGTATATAGTAGCTTGTTCGTATCCGGTGCAACGTGTATATAGTAGCTTGTTCGTATCCGGTGCAACGTGTATATAGTAGCTACGTGTATATAGTAGCTTGTTCGTATCCGGTGCAACGTGTATATAGTAGCTTGTTCGTATCCGGTGCAACGTGTATATAGTAACTTGTTCGTATCCGATGCAATGTG